TGGCGGGGATCCGGCCTGCCAGGCACGCGGCCCAGTGGGTCCCTGCCACCTTGGCGAGCCGAGGGCCCCTGGTTGTGGCTTAGCGCCGGGGTGTCAATCAAGGCCAGGGAGGGAGATCGAGACACTTGCTGACCTCATGCTGACCCCAGCTTCTCCCCGGCGGGTTCGAACACCCGCTTCCGAGCCCGGCCCGCCCCCCGCGTACCGCAAACTCCCCCGCGCCTCGCCAGCGCGGGGCTGCGGGGCCGCGTTCCCTGCCCCGCCGCCGCGGAACCCAGCTCGGCTCGCTCGGCGTCCGGCTTATCCCGCTGCTAGGAGCGCCCAGGCCGACGGCCCCTTCCCCTGCCCTGCAGCTGCCGGGGGGCCGGCCCCTATGTTCCAAGGAGGGTAAGGGATACAGGGCCCCGCTCGCCCTACCGCCTTTCGCCCCCTTGGACTCTGCTGCCCCCATCCCAAGAGGGGATGTCCCCCAGGGACCCCTCCCCAATCACTCCCGAGTCCCCCCCCCGCAGGAGGAATGGGGGGGGGGATAACTAACCACCCTCCCGGCCTTCCCTAACAATCTGGAAGGGCTGCCTAGATGTTCACGTGTTAAACCTGAAACCCCCTCCCCCGAGGTGTTACTGATCCCCGGTTTGGGCACGGGGAAACTGAGGCAGGGGATGGCAGGCACCTCATGGTTACATAATGACAGCCGGGCTAGAACCTATGAGCCCTGACCCCTAACCCAACTCCCTCTCCGTGCAGAGCTAGAGAGAGAACCCGGGAGTCCCGGGTGGGGCCGCCTACAGCCAGGCACCAAAGCAGTGACAGCCTAAAAGGCTTTAGGAAGTGGGGCAGCAGCCTTCGCCCAAAGACAGCGAATATCTCTGCCCCCCCCCAATAGCGAATAGTTGGGGGGAAACAGGGAAGGGCAGGACTGGGGTGCCGCCCCCTCTTGCACACCACCTCCAGCCGCTTACATAGAAAGATTCAGAGTCACTGTTACCCGGTTAAGTTACACAACTGTTGCTAGAGAATGTGTGTGTGTATATATAGCCACAGAGTGCGGGGTGTGCCTGTAATGCCTGTACACACCAACAGAAACAGATTTAGAGCAGATATAGATCTGGGTCACATATGGACACACACCTCATATATGTGTACACACACGTCAGTTTCTGTGTATACACACACTAAATCAACACATGGCAACATATGGCTAAATATATTTAGTTGCTTTGCATACACGCACTACAGACACATTTATGGCGATGTATAGTTTGCTTCTGTGTACCTATACACTGGTTGCATACACGTTTGGCAATATAGGTTGATAAATACGTTTAGTTTTGTATAAATGCACCGCGTACACATTTAGCAATGTGTGGGGGGATGTATATTTTGTTTCTGTGTCTACATGCACTATACGTCCATTTAGCAAGGTATATTTTGCGTCCGGGTATATGTACACTACGTACACATTTAGAAATATATAGCGATATATAGCTTGCTTTCAGTGTGTCTATAAATTACATACACAGTTGGCAATACATGTTTATATATCGTTTCTTTGTATCCATGCACGACATACACATTTAGCAATATATGGCGATATATACTTTGCTTCTTTGTATATATACACTAAATACACCTTTGGCAATATATGGCTACATATATATTTCGTTTCTGTGGATACATGCGCTACATACACATCCAGAAATAACTGGTTTCTGTGTGGACACGCACTACATACACGCTTGGCGATACATGCAGCTTGTCAGAATCCGAATTGAATGTTGTGATCATTATCACAGATAATATTGAGGTTTATTGTCAAGCATTTTTTTATTTGTGTCCATTTAAATGCTCACAGTTGCGGGGGAAATTATGGGAGCGGTCAGACAAGAATTATTCAATGACCAGAAATGTTGAGATTCAGATAGTGAAAGATTTATAACCATTAAAACACAAATTGTCAGGATCACCGGCCAACATGCAAAGTAAATATGTTTAACTGAAAATCGAATAATTTCTCAAGCAGCATTTGTCTCACTTTGCCCAGCTGTAATTTATTATTGTTATTGGTGGAATTATTTTTCCTGTGGTTTGAATGTCTGCGGTGAAAACTGGACTTTTACTGACATTTGCTGACAAAAATTCATCCTTCCAAGCCCAATATATGGTGATCTATCTATCTATCTATCTATCTATCTACAGAGAGAGAGAGAGAGAGAGAGAGTTTCTGTGTATAAATACACATACAGCAATATCTGGTGACAGATCTATATATTCATACACACATCTCTTCATATACACACACGTATTTTTATACTTTACTGCCTATATTATATACACACGCACAAACACTATATATCCACAAACATATACGCCCATATTTACAAACATATCCATGTGCATCTGCTATATATATATATATCACAAATAGCCACACACGTATATGACTCGCAGATATTTGTACGCCTGTGTGTTTATCCGTGTGGAGATAGATAGATTAGAAGTGTTACAGTCTGGGCACATGCTGGTTTTGCATAGATACACAGTAAATATAGAGGTACAGATAATCCCAAACTGGGGTTCAGCCGGAGATACGTATAAATAAAGTCCCACACGCCTCACTGAAAGAAATCTAAAGCTGCAAAACCCCCAACTTTTCGTCATGTCGGTAGCCGTTTGTGCACCATTCTTAGCCATTCTTTTTATCTGAGTAATTTCACGCAAAGGACCTGATCTAAAAGGAAAATCTGTGTTACAAGCGGATCTTGCTGAAATGTGCGGAGTCTCCGCAGAACAGATGCTATTGTCAAATGGGGTCGTTGCTTTGATGTCACCCCCACAAGGTACAATCCAAAGCCGAGAGAGGAATTAGAAACGTCTGAGGCCTTTTCTAACGTGACTCGCAATCGTTCTGGGTACGGACAAATATCTGAATCTCTCTTCTACTTTCCCAGTCTGCTCTGGCTGAAGGGGAAAATGTGGCCGCTTCGCCCGGATCTATCTATCTATCTCATCAACAAACAAACACAACAAATAGGTTAGCGTGATTTCCTTTTTAAAAATAGATTCCCCTATAAAAGCCCCTATATTGCGGAAGGGAATCTTAAAATGCAAGACAATGCAGTTCTCGGAACCTGTTTAGTTACAAAACTAACACACACAAAAATCTTGGAGGGGAAATGAAAAAATCCCAGCGGAAGGGAGCTGGGTTGGGATATTTCTGAATGTATAACGGGAAAGAAGAGGACGGATGTTTCGAATTTCTTGCCTGCCCAGAATTTTTCTTTCCTCCACTGCAATGCTCCTAAAACAACAAGGAGTCGGGAGGCACCTTAAAGACTAACCGATTTATTTGGGCATAAGCTTTCCTGGGTAAAAACCTCACTTCTTCGGATGCATTCACATGCAATGCTCCCGTTAACCCTGCTGCCATATTAATTTAAAAAACAGGCCAACCAAAAAATCGAGGCTTTCCAGAAGAACTCTGGTTGCAGAGGGGGGTTCGCTCCCTAACCGGACACGCTGTTTTCTAGCCCCTCCGCTATTGTTATTTGGAAGAAACAGCCACACACAGAGAGACAGAATAAAACATCTGTGGTGGCGGCATGCTCAGCTTTTACACCGCTCGCCCTCCTCTCCCCCCCAGAAAGCCCCGGGGTCTCAGGGCAGGGCCCTGGCTTGAGGATGTCTCTGCCCGAACCCCTCAGTGCCGAGAGGCGCCGATTGAACGCAGGACTGAAAGGATCCCGGGGATGGAGTTGGGTATTTATTTATTTCCGTGGAGCAAGTGCTATGAAAAAAAACCCTCTTTAACTCCATGATGCTTCCGTGACGCTTTTTTCCTGCGCCAAAGGTTTAAAACCCAAAGCAGCCCCGTGGGATCCTCCCCCTCCCCCGTGTGTGTTTATTTCGGGGCGAGGGGTCCCCTTCCCCCCACCAGCGCTGAATGCATCACAGAGACCGACCGTTTAAAGGAGAAGAAGATAAAAAGGAGGGGCGGGGGCAGAAAGGCTCGGGGTGTCTGTGTCGCCCCCCATCCCTTTTCCGCACCCCCCCCCAGCACAGCCCTCTCCCGAACACACGCACCCAGTCTCCCAAATCTCTCAGTGAAGCCCTACGGGAGCTGGAGGGAGGAAGGGGGGTGCCGGGCGGCGCAGGGGAAGAGGCAGCTGACAAGCAGGGACCCCCCCGACCCCAGTCACCACCACCCCTTTTGCTTTGGTCCTTCGTGGGCAAGGGAGGCGACTGGAAAGGGACCGGGAGGGGCGCAGCCTCGCTCGCTCGGGCCCAGTTCGCCTGACCTGTACCAAAGCCACACGCCGCTTTCCCCTTCCGGGCCGCCTTCGGCCTGCGGGGGCGCTGGGATGGGGAGGGAGCGGACAGGCCCCGGGGCAGGGAACGAGCCGGGTTAGGGGGTATTATTGTTGTGGGGGGGGGGG